AATGGATCGTCAACACTCCCCCCCCCCTTTTTTTTTTACTGAGCAAATTGTCGCTTTCACATCGCGCGGACTGCTTTTTGTCGCATGATAGTGCCATCATATCACAAAATATGAGGTGATATAATCCATTCATTCGCAATACAATGGGTACTCACCTCTCAAACACAGGAAGAGGTAGTTGGCTCGTAGCAATCTCACGTGACTTGCGTGGTCCAGCGCTTTCGTCAGCTAGAGCAAGTCGGGACGCGGAGCACTCTTACGCCCTGTGCCCATATGGTTTTGCATTGCGGCAGGAAGCACCTTCTACTGAAACCAGGAAACCGCAAATGGACATGGAGGAGCCCTAATGGAGAAAATAAGAACGAAATAGACTTTGTAATGAGTGCACACCAAGGCATCGTGCAGGATGTGGAAATGGTAGACATGGTACGATGCAGTGACCATAGTATGGTACGGTCTCGAATTCACCTAGACTTGAAGAAAGAACGACAGAAATTGATACGCAAGAAGCCAATCAATGAGCTAGCACTTAGAGGGAAAGTACAGGAACTCAGAGTCTCACTTCGAAACCGGTACTCGGCTCTGAGTGAAGAAAGAAACCTCAGCGTATATACAATGAATGATAATCTGACGAGTATCATTACGGAGTGTGCAGTGGAAGTTGGAGGCAGGGTAGTTAGACAGGACACTGGCAAGCTTTCCCCGAAAACAAAGAATCTCATTAAGAAGCGTCAAATCATGAAAGTCTCAAGTACAACAGACAAAATAGAACTGGCAGAGCTTTTGAAGATGATTAATAGGCGTAAAGGCTGGCGCACACCGGCGACTAGCAGCAGTCGCGCGACCATTTGTGACTGGTCACAAACAGTCGCGAACGGTCGCAAACTGTAGCGAAGTGACTGCTTTGGCTAGTCACTTCCTGACCAATTTTTCAGTCGCGCGGCTGCAGTCGCAAAGCTGCTGGAACCAATCAGCGGTGCCCAATTTTTGTTCTTTTGTTTTTTCATTGCGCTGGCTTCCTGCCGCCAGATACAAACCAGTGCGTCCCTCTGGGTTTGTGGCACCCTGGCCAGCACGGAATACTTGGCTTGGAGATGGCGGGGCGCAGCAGCTCGAGAAAAATGCCAAATTTGTGTGACGGCATTCCCAAGAAGCTAAAGACCGTTAAAGCAAAAAGAAAGTAAATTGTGCACTATCTTTTCCCCGTATTCAGAAATGTTTTTTGTCTTGAACTTGACTTGTCACCGTCTTCAATGCAGGGCGTTTGGAACGCGTTTGTGCTTCATGCCTTGGCAATGACTTAAGACACCGCGTTCGAAAAGCGTTTGCACTGTATTGTAGGCTGTGGCAAGCCAATTTAAATTCAAGGACCATTTATAAATACGTATGACTCTCCGAAATACTCCTCGCCATCTCAGTGCAGCCCGGGAGGAAGGCGGCTTGCAAGGCCGGCCAACTCCCCCGATCGAAAGGACGGTCACACACACTACCGGCTTTTTTAGGGGCGAAGCTCCTTATAGCGGCACCTGTTCGTCCCTTCTAGCCGTTGTAGTGTGTAACGAGTATAAAATTTTGACCTGCAAGGTGGTGCTGGTGAGAGATTTCTTCTGTGCGTTGTTGAACAAAAAAAACATAGTGATCAATGTACACGCCAATCGCTGCTAATGGAGAATGAGAGACAGGAGCATTCGGCTTTTAGTTAACCCGCACGCCACAATCCCCATTAGCAGCCATTGGCATGTACATTCAACACTATTTGACAAGAAAGGGTTGCTGTGTTATACTCGCTGGGTGTAACCTCCCTAGTTTTGAAAAGGTTTAGCGAGCGTTGAGCCACAGTGCCATTAATACAATCAACTAGTATATACCATGAACTCGAGGTGGTTAAAGGTGGGAAGTAGATACGAAGCGCATGCAGTAAGAAAGTGAAAGCCCAATTCTCCTGTCTCTCATTTTCCATTACCAGCCATTGTTATGTAAATTGAGCACTATCTGACAGGAAAAGGTTGCTACGTTATACTCGCTGTGCATAGCCCCCTTGGTTTTAGAAAGGTTTAGCGGTCGTTGGGCAGCAGTGCCATGAATACAGTGAACTAGTATATGCCATGAACTCGAGGTGGTTAAAGGTGGGAAGTAGATCCGAAGCGCAAGTCGTAATAAAGTGAAAGCCGAATCCTCATTTCTCTCATTTCCCATTAGCAGCCATTAGCATGTAAACTGAACACTATCTGACAGGAAAAGGTTGCTACGTTATACTCGCTGGGCGTAGCCTCCTTCGTTTTAGAAAGGTTTAGCGAGCGTTGGGTCGCAGTGCCATGAATACAGTGAACTAGTATATACCATGAACTCGAGGTGGTTAAAGGTGGGAAGGAGACCCGAAGCGCAGGTCGTAAGAAAGTGTGCGTGTGTCACCAGTCATTTAGTCTTTGAGATGTCCGGTGGATGGCGGTGCTTTTATATAGGGAATATATGATGAAAAGATGCGAGATGGTGGTATTTGGAGTGTTGAATAGATGGACGAATGGACACACAGATAGATGCTTCGACGGACGCACGGATGGCTGCACGGACAGATGGACACATGAACGGACGCAGGGGCTGATGCATGGACGAGCGCAGAGACGGACGCACGAAGATGCACGCACGTTCAAGCGGATGGACACATGGACGGTTACACAGACGGACGCATGGGCGGACGGAAGCAAGAACGAATGGACGGAGAAACTCTTCGGCCCACTCTCCATCATTCCCTTCGTGGATATGCTGCCAAGTTTTTTATGTCTGTCTGTGCGCGATTTAGCGCGCTGTCTGGGAAACACATCGGCTCGAAATGCAGCATGTCGCATTTTGCGCCAGTTGCCGTTGGGCCGTGCCGAAGGACTGTAGTCGCTCCGGTCGCGCCTGGCGATCGTCACTGTGACTAGCGTGCGCGCACGTCAACGTTTTGTTGGAGTACATTGTGCCCTTAATGACGCGCTCGCAGCCATTTCACTAGTTCCAGATATACCAAATTTAGTGTTACGTGACGTCAATGGATGAAGAAAATATATGACTGTTGCAAACATGATAATCGTGACCCGGGTGTCTTGTAAGAACATGGCAACGTACCACGCTCATGGCGTGGTCGCGGCCATTTTGCTAGCTCCAAATATTCCAATCGTGGTATCTTATGACGTGAGTGAATGAGTGAGAACAACTTCATTATGGTCCAGTGCAGACGCTGAGGTAGCCAAGCGTCACCCGGCTACTCCCACATGGGGACCGGCAGGTCTAACCTGACCACCCTGTCGCGGGCACACTGGACGGCCAGGATTTGGTCCTGAAATTCTGGGCTGTGCAAAAGCGCATCCCACTCGGGTTTGCTACAAGTCGATCCGAGCAACCCGCACACCCAAATCATGTGTGCTAATGTAGCGGTCTGTCGGCAAATGGCACAGGTGGCATCGGGGAATTTGTGAGGATAAATTGCGTTTAGGTATACTAACGACGGGTACGAATGTGTTTGAAGTCAGCGCAAGGAGACGGCCTGTGCTCTATTGAATTTTGAATGTGGCATTGGGAATGCCCGCCTCGCCATGTAGTAATACTTCATAATCTCGTTGTGTGCAGTAGGTGTGTCTTTATGTCCAACGTCGTCGGCACTGGAGCCGTCGCCCAGGTCGAGAGCAGCGCTGTCAGTGAACGCGCGCGCTGCTGAGTGGGCCGACTCGTTCGGGTTCAGTGCAACGCCGTTTACGGAGCCGACATGCGTGGGGATTCAATGTATGGTGTGAGGGAAAATTGTATCGCTGGTGGAGCTGCTCAAGAGCCTGGCTGCCTGTGTTGATATGCTGCCCTTTTGAAAGGCTCTGACTGCGGCTTTGGAGTCGCTGTACACATCTTCGCACTGATCATTTTGCAAAGCGAGTGCGATGGCCACTTGTTCGGCCACCTGGGGGTTGGCGGTGCGTACCGTGTGCAGTTCGTAGTCGAGCCAATCTGATCCACGACCACCGCTGCGAACTTTTTGCCGTCTCGATAATGCTGCAGCGTCAACGAAACTTGCAATTACGCCAACATTTCCCAGTTGCTTCAGAAGAGCTGTCGCCCTTGCCGGACGACGTCCCTCGTTGTGTACAGGGTGAGTGTGTGGGGTATTGGGGCAACAATGACGTTCTCCTGTATATGTTTTCACACACGCACGCCACTTTTTGTTTCCTGCTCCATAGGGTTGAAACCTAGCTCGCCAAGTATGCGCCGACCAGCCGTCGTAGGGGACAAGCGAGCCATCTGCGAGCGTTGCTGCACTTCCGCTATCTCGGCAGTAGAGTTGTGCATACCGAGCGTGAGCAAGTTCTCGGTGTGTGTGCGTACGGGAAGCCCAAGTGCTTTCTTTGATCATCTTTCTGATAACCACGTCGAGCTTGTCTCTCCCTGACCTAAGCCAAAAGTACATGGCAACGATGTAGGTAAATTGGCAGAGCACAAACGCATTGATGGGCCTTAACGAATTGTCTTCCTTAAGGCCTCTATGTCTCTCAGAGACTCTTTTGACGAGTCGAAAAGCGTTGCCAGTTTTGGCGACAATCTTCCGCAGAGTGGTGCCGTTGCCACCTTTCGCTTCAATACACATGCCGAGGATCCGGATGGTGTCTACCCTCGAGATTTCCTCTCTGTCTCTCATGTATATGTGTATATCGCAATCTTCGACGGGTTTTTATCCCTTAGGTCGGCCACCTCATTCTTTCTTATAGAGCAGGAGCTCCGACTTGGCGGGTGAGCATCTGAGTCCCGTTTGGCGCAAGTACGATTCCACCTCGGCAACTGCTCCTTGAAGGGCATCTTGCACCCAGCCTTCGCTGCCGCAAACGCACCAGATTGTGATGTTGTCGGGGTAGATGGTATGCTTGATGCTGTCCACGCTAGCCAGACTTTTCGACAGTCCGATCATGCAGAGATTGAACAGCACCGGAGAAACCACACACCCCTGGGGCGTGCCTCGACGTCCGAGTGGTACGTCTTCAGAGAAGAAGTTCCCGATGCCCAGCCTCGCTTTTCTTCCAGACAAGAAGGGCCTCGATGTAGTTGTACAGCCTGGGTTTCAAGCTCGGGTTTGCCACAGTCTCCAAGATAAATTCGTGCTTGATGTTGTCAAAGGCCTTCTCTAGGTCTAAGCCAAGAAGAGCCTTTGTATCTCTAGAGTATCCATCAAGGAACTTGGTGCTTAATGAGCAGCATGGCATCTGTGTTGAAAGGCCAGCATGAAATGCAGTCATATTGTGCGCACAAATGTCATTTCCCTCACGGTAGTCGTTAAGTTTGTTGAGAATCGCGTGCTGTGCCACTTAATCCCCGCAGAACGTGAGGGAGATGGGGCGAAGATTCTCAACACTCGGAGACTTTCCTGCCTTAGGAATCAGTATGGTGTCAGCTAGCTTCCATTCTTCAGGAACTCTTCCCGTTTTCCATGCCTCAGTGAAGAAACCAGTTAGACGTTCTATGGATGCGTCGTCGAGGTTTCTGAGGGCTCTGTTCGTGATCCCGTCTGGCCCTGGTGCCGACTTGCGATTGAGCGTTTGTATCACTCTCCTGATTTCAGCCTCTGAAAAGTCTTCGTCTAGTTCAGGTAGAGGAGGGCCGCCATACTCTGGGAACACGCCGTCTTAGTCCTCTCGTTTGACCGGCAGGTACTTGGAAACTGATCGAGTAACGAGTTCGTCAACCCCCTGTTCTTTGGTGGCTTCGTGAAGGGCACGGGCTAAAGTGTGTCTCTGGCTGGCTCTAGTGCAGTGCTCGTCCAAGAGGTGCTTCAGAAGGTGCCAGGACTTGCCATTTCTGATTTGACCATCGACAGACTCGCACAGCTCATCCCACTGCTGTTTGCACAGTGTGTCGCAATGTTGTTAGATCTTTTTGTCCAATTTTGATATTTTTCGCCGCAGCCTACGGTTGTGCCTCAGCTTCTTCCATCGAGAAAATAGAGCTGTCTTGGCTACTAGCAGGTGGGCAAGCCTACTGTCCATCGTTTCCACATTTAAATATGTCTATCTTCTTGGTGGCAGCGGTGGTATCTCTGCGAAAGCAATCATACCATTCCTCGAAATTGTCAGGAGCACTGACCCTTGTACCGCGAATGCTGCGAAAAAGATCTCAGTCAACCACCGTGAACTCTCGGTTTTTGCTACAGTCCACTATAATAAAAGTTTGCAGAACGTAGTGGTCGCTGTCAAAATTCAAGGCGGTGTTGGTCCATGTACTCTTTTCGACATTCTTGATGAAAGCGAGGTCTGGCGTCATGTCGCAGAGTTGCCTATCCGCGTAGGAAAAGCCTTATCAGTGATTAAGGTAAGGTATAGTTCGGTGGCATCCTGCCAATGGTCGCGACCTTTTCTCGTCTCATACACGTATCCCCATAAGCCATGTGGGGCATTGAAGTCACCGACTATGACAAGGGGCCGAGGACCGGCTAGTTCAACTGCCCTTTCGAGCAACGTTTTGAACAGCTGGTGCCTGTGCCTGGGGACTGTAGACATTCAATACAAAAACACGCTTTTTCTGCTAATTGCGCCGCGGTGTGTCCATTAGGATCTCTACCATTACATATTCGATATTGCATCTGGCCATCTTCAAGTTGTGGGCGACGTGTGTCAGCTTTTTACTTATTAGTGTGCAGACACCTCGTCCTCCTGACTGGCCAGGGACTGCCCGGTAACCAGAAAAGGACGCTGCAGAGACTAAGGTCCCTTGAAGTGCTCTGATTTGAGGTTTCTTTGTTATTGTTCTAAAGTACTGCTGCAGGAGTGCTTTTTTACCAGCGTACCCCCTGCAGTTCCATTGCCAAATACGGACAGCGTCTTTGTCGTTATCCAATATGGATTCTACTTTGATCACCACCCGGGGGGAGGGGTCAGTGTGGCAACAAAAATCTGTTCCTCTATGCAATTAGCTATTGGGCTATCGACGTGTATGGGAATGGCCACTTCCACGTTGCAAGCGACGCACCCTGTGGCGCAGGTTTAGGCAGTTTGGCGTGATTTTCTTGCGCATTGATGCGCTCGTTCATTGCCCTAAGCCCCTCTACTGGGTCACTGAGTGGAGCTTGCATCTGCCTAACACTCTCCGTGAGGCAAGCTACGCTCCCTGCAACCTTCTCTTAATGTTCTCTGTCATCGTAACCAACGTTTGCTTAATCTCCTCGACTTGAGATTTCGTGTTCCTAAGCTTGCTTATTACCGCTCTGCGTTTGGTTGCCATAGGCCCATCTCCAAGAGGGGCCGGAACCTGCGTGTCAGTGGTTTCACCTTCAGTATTGCTACGCATCGGGCTCAGCATTTTTTAAACTCCGCCATTTCATTTGCCATTTTGGTAAGCGTATCCTTAAGCTCAGCGTTTTCCTTTTTTCAATCGTAATATCTCCACCTCTCTATCATGCTCTGGGAACGGGTCGCATTGCATGGGTTACTCGCTGTCATTACTACGAACCCTGTTGGCCCATGTTAGGTTTGGATTGCCCCTGCTCTGGTCGTCTGAGGCGTAGACAGCCCCGGACAGTTGGAGTCCCCGTGCATGCTCGTATATCTATAGTCTGCCCTGAACGAGGGGTCTGGTCTGGTGATCGGTGCGTCAGTCTTTCCCTGGCCAGGTCCAGAGACCGGATCCGGAACAGGCACTGGAGCTGGGACGTGGTCTGGTGCCACCCCTGGATTGACACCACGTCGTGGACGTGGAGCGGGCCCCGGATCTCGAACGCCATCCGATACGCAGCCTGGACGTGGAACGACTCCTTCAGCTTCTTCTGGTTCTGGATCTCCCTCGTGATTTGAATTGTCCTCCAGGAGCCGGTGGTCCGGACTGGCCCTGCTGATGACAGTCGTTGAGCTCGAGGAAGCAATCTACATTGACGGATGGAGACCTCTCCCGAGGGGCGTGGGCCCTCAGGCCCCACCCTGCGCCTGACGACATGGGGTATCTGATATCGGGGCTGGCATTTCCTGAATGCGGTGAGGTGCTTTGCGCCCCTCAATTTGCAAACATGATCCCAAACACACAAAAACGTGATCCTCTTCTTGCTGGATAGGTTGTCTGCAAGCCTTGCAGACTGAAGCGTCGGGCGTCGGGCAGACGTCAGAGCAGTGTCTTAGTCGGCCGCAGGCATAGCAAACATAAACTTGCTTCCTGTATAAAGTGCACTTGATGAGGGTGCCGCCATAAGAAATATAATTGGGAACCTTGTACCCGTCAAACAGAACTATGATGACGCCAGTATTTTTGATGTTTTTGCTCCGAGGGCCAGTGGATTTCTTGCATTGACAATCTTTCGGTCGATGGCTCCTGGATCATCACTAAGAGGGATCCCATGGATAACTCTCTTGCAGGTGGCATGCGGAGCAGCCACATATGCACTGACTTCGTGGCGCTGTCCGTCCACAATAATAGCTTCAACGTTAACATAGCGCTTAACATTCTCTTGGCTCGAAGTACTGACGACCATAATATTTTGCACGTGATTAGGGCACATTGTGTCCGTGTTTCTATCTTCCGGACCGAGCCCTGTCGCACTCCATATGGCCTCTGCCACGACCGACGCGCCAGACTTGCTAATACACAGACCACCTCTCGGCCTCACGATGACCTTAGTTTCTTCACATGGCAGCGGTGGCATCTCGCTTTCCCTTATAAGGTTTTTCTTGACATCTCTGAAGCTCTGAAAGCCGGGCGTAGTTTCTTGAGCGTTCGTCTTAGACGCCGGCGTTCCGGCACCAGCAGACCTACTGGCTTTCCTTAATTCCAATCGTCTTTTATTCACCGTAATCCATCCGGAATTCTTGTTATTCTTTTCAGCGTCCCCCGGGGTCTTCGATGATTCATCTTCCATGTCTTGATGTGGCGAAAACAAGTCATTTTCTGTTTGAGACGTGGTGCCTGTGCACCAAATAGACAGTGGCGTGGCTGGGCCGAACGACGGCGTCTGTAGCTGCACACTCAGTGTCGTCGTCACGAAAGTCACTTATTAATGTACAAATAGTCCATCCACCAGTGCGATTCTTGTGGCCACGGCGTCCCGATGATCTTAGAAGTCCGTTTCGACCCAATTTATGGTGAATGAGGCCTCACATAGCACCAAGAAGTGAATAAATCACTGGAGCCGATCGCAACGCGTCCGAACTGCACGGCGCCATCATCACGTCCCTCTCATTACGTGAATAACGAAAGTAAACGACACATCCAAACACAATAATCATGACATGGAAGTCGTGCACGGCATATTTTACCTCTACCTCGTAACGTTGTGCTGATTTTAATGTTACGTATCAACCTTTCTCAGTCGTGCTTCGCATATCATCGATTCCCACTGTACGTGGAATCTGACAATTTTAATTGCGAATAATTTCTTAGCAAACTTCAGCGGCTTCGAGCGTCTCTATCTATCTATCTATCTATCTATCTATCTATCTATCTATCTATCTATCTATCTATCTATCTATCTATCTATCTATCTATCTATCTATCTATCTATCTATCTATCTATCTATCTATCTATCTATCTATCTATCTATCTATCTATCTATCTATCTATCTATCTATCTATCTATCTATCTATCTATCTATCTATTTATGACTTTTAGCTCTCCTGGTCATTTGGATTATGCTATCAATACCGAAATCGGTATACCATAACACGACTGTATGGCGAGCATAAGCGATTAGTCATAACCTGAAAATCAAGACATGTATGTCATGAATGTCATGATTTACATATCATAGTCTTGCAGCTCTTGCGGTGGTTTCATTCACACGGCATGTTGCAAAACAGGTATGGTATGGCATGATTGCATGGCGAACACAAGCGACAGACCCTACCGCGAAAATTATGACTAGCGTGTCATGTAACAACAGACTACATGTCACGCTCATGATGTCCTCCGCAGGCATTTCGCTAGCGCGCATATACCAAATTTGGTAATACAGTACGTGAATGAATGACAAAGGTATGTGACTGGTGCAAACATGATAATCATGAGATGCGTATCATGTATCAACTTGACTACTTACCTGGCTCATGATGCGCTGGCGGCCGTTTCGCTGGCTTCACTTATACAAAATTTGGTATTACGGGACGTGAATGAATCACGAAGGTATGATACCGGTGCAAACATGATAAACATGAGGTGCGTGTCATGTAACAACAAGACTATATGCCACACTTATGATGCGCTCACGGCCATCTCGCTAGCTTCACATAAGCTAAATTTGGTATTGTGTGATGCCAATGGATGAAGAAGGCATATGGGTGATCACAACATGACAATCATGAGATGCGTGTCTTGTGAGAACATGACTACAAGCCAAAGCCAAGGCACCAACGCATTTCGACGCGACACGGTGCGCGTGCTCGCAGGCGTTTATTTCGCCGCGTCAAGCTGCGTTGCCACGCCAGGCGTCGGTCCCACCATATACGCGCAGGCGCACGCAGCGCTGCGTTGCTTTGACGCATGCGCGTTTCAGTGCGTCCGGCGTCTCTCGTTCAAGAAAAAAGGGATACTCAGAGTTGTCTGGGCAACGCATCGGCATGAAATGCAACATGTCGCATTTTGCGCTGGTTGTAGTCGAGCCGCGCTGACGGACGCTGGTCGCGCCTGGCATGTGCGCGCGCCTGGCGTACAACTAATAAAGCGCCCACGCTTTGCTAACGTAGCGTCACTGTGCCCAGCGTGCACGCATCAACGCTACATTGGAATATATTGGGCCCTTCATAATGCGCTCACGGCTGTTTTTCTAACTACAAATATACGTAATCTGGTGTTACTTGGCGTCAATGGATGACGAAATATATTACGGGTGCAGACATGACAATACTGACAACCGGGTAATTTAAGAAAATGACAAAATACCACGCTCATAGCGTGCTCACGGCCGTTTCGCTTGCTCCACATATACGTAAACTGGGGTTGCGTGACGTCAATGGTTGACGAAATCTATGACGGGTGCAAACATGACAATCCTGACATGCGTATCATGAAAGAACATGACAACATACCACGTTCATAGCGTTTCATGGCCGTTTCGCTAGCTCCACATATACTAAGTTTGGTATCACGTGATGTTAATTGATGACAAAGGTCTCTAAGACATGATAATAATGACACGGTAGGCATGTAAGGCATCATTTACCTCCACCTCGGGACGTTGTGCTGATTTTAAAATGGCATAGCAGCATTTTTCATTCGTTTCTCCCTTATTATTGAATTCCGCTGTAAGTGCGTTCTGCCAATTTTAGGTTCGAAGCTCCTAAGACTGGCACTCATTCATCCCTCGTAGCCTTTGTAGTGTGTAACAAGTATAACATTTTTACCTCCAATTTGGTGCCGTTGAGAGATTTCTTCTGTGCGTTGTTGAACAATAAAAGATAATGCCAAATGTACATTCCAATGGCTGCTAAGGGGTAATTAGAGACAGGAGCATTCGGCTTTTGTTAACAAGCACGCTGCAATCCCCATTAGATGATGATGATGAAAAACATTTTTTATAAAAGAGAGAGGCACGGGGCCAAAGCATGACCCCGCTACATGGTCGGCGTCCTTAGTCCGGGACACCGCATGACGAGGCCCCTGCTCGCGCCCGTCTCACCAGAGCCCGTTGAGACTCTAGTGATGAGCAGTTGAGGAGGGCAGTCTCCCATGCCTCTCGGGAAGGGGTAGGCGAAGGGGGTAGGTGGGGATTTTTCGGACATGCCCATACCATGTGGAAGATATCACACGTCTCCCCACAGTGTGGGCACTGCCCATCTGTGTTCGCATCGAAATGTTTTAGGATTGCAGGACAGAGTAGAGTACCTGTCTGCAGGCGCCTTACAGTTCGCTCTTCTGCCTTACTCAGCCCCTTTGCAGGAGCCGGGTAAAGGCTGTGACTGTCGCAATAATAGGTCAGAATTTTTTTGAACCGCAGCAGCGGTGTATTGGCCTCCGAGTCATAAGAGCCAAAGTGAGGAGCCTGGTGGATAAGCACTCGGGCGGCCGCGTCAGCGGCCTTATTACCTCGTAAGCCCTGATGACCAGGAGCCCATACGATGCGTTTCGGGGCTGGATCAGCGAGAGCCTGTTTTAGAATTTGGCTGGCTAGGGGGGATATCTTTCCTGTCAAGTAATGAGCACGTGCTTTCCGGGAGTCAGTGATGATAACTTTCGAGTTGGGGTCCGCCGCAGCAAGCTCTATCGCGACTTCCTCAGCGCGCTCTTGATTTTGTGCTCGGAACGAGAGCCCATTGACATGCTTTTCCCGGTGAACTACACAGGCCGTGTAAAATCCCGTGGGCGAAGACCCTGCTATATCTACGTAGAATACACCAGGTCGGGAGCTTTGTTGCCTCTCAAGCGTCCGAGACCGCGCCTGTCTTCTGCTTTCGTGCGTGTGCTTATCCATGTTACTGGGGAGTGGAGAGACCGAGAGCATATGCCGCCACAGTTCCGGAATACGCTCCACCTCCTCTGCAGTGCAAGTGTGCTGTATATGTAAGCGGTTCAGCAGGCGGCGCCCGGGAGCCATCTGCACGAGCCGCGTATATTGATTCATAAGGTGGGCCTCCCGCAACTCCTGGTAGGAGTTGAGCACACCTAACGCCCTCAGTTTGGCGTTGGAAGTGGCCACCGGGAGAGCCAGAGCTCGTTTAGTAGCCTTACGAATGATGGAATCTAATCTTTCGTCTTCTTGCTTGTTAGTGCAAAGGTATGAGACGGCGTAGAGGATCCGGCTAGTCACGAAGGCATGGGCAAGCCGAAGCGCGTCTCTGCCCCGCAGACCACCCCGCTTGTTGGAAACGCGGTGGATCATGCGCCTTACCTGTTCGCCTATTCTCTTGAGTTTCGCTATAGTGGAGTCCGGTGTGAGTCTGTGGTGAATGAACAGGCCCAGAATCCGGAGCTCATCCACCTCTCTAAAGGTAAACCCAGGCAGGGAGATGTGTATGGCTGACTTATCTCTTGGCTTCGCTCTAACGTGCAGAAGCTCTGATTTGTTTGGAGCACATTGGAGTCCACAATCGTTGGCATATGCCTCGACTATGGATGCGGCCTGCTGAAGGCGTTCCTGCATTTCACCAAGGTTTCCTTCAGTGGTCCAGATTGCAATATCATCCGCATATACTGCGTGTTGTGTGCCTTCCACCCTGGCCAATTCGCTTGGAAGGCACATCATAGCAATGTTGAAAAGGAGCGGTGATAACACTGCTCTCTGTGGGGTACCCCGTATACCTATCGCATAGAGCATCTGCAAGCTGTGCCGGAGTGCCTTGGTACCTTTGCAGAGCTCGCCGGAGCTGCTTCTGTGCCTCCCCTCTCGTTTGAGAGGGGTCTATGAGACTGCGAACGAGACGCCATGTCCCCTTCGAAATCATCTGACGAGCTGCGGCGTCGCAGCGGGCTATTCAATTTGAATCTGAGAGTTTGGCAGCATACGCTGCAGCCTGTTCCGTGAGTTGGGCTATGCGGATACGTAATTTGCGATTAGTCTTCTGCTTTTTCCAACGTTTTGTTAAGCTTCGGCGCGCCTCCCACAAGTGTAGGAGGTGAGCGTCAACTGCGGGGATTTCTTCGTTGGTTTTGAGGGTAGTAACAAGTCTTTTCTGAATGTTGTTTACGTGTTGCGCCCATTCTGCATAGCCTCCAGAAAATAGTACGGGAGGGATAGTCTGATTTCGAATTGGGTCCAATTGGTCAGCTTGGCTTGACCGCATTTTTTATTAGCTGACTTTTGCAGGAGTGTCACCCGGAGAAGGCAGTGATCACTGCCTAGAGAATCGCCCAAGTTCTCCCAGGTAGCCTCCTTAGCATTTTTTACGAGAGAGAGGTCCGGACACGTGTCACGGGTTACCGAGTTCCCCACTCGTGTGGGGTACGCCGGATTCGTGAGCAGCGTGAGGCGAAGGGAGGAGATAAGCTCCGCCAGCTTACGTCCTCTGGCCTTCTCGTAGTGATAACCCCAGTGAAGGCTGGCAGCATTGAAGTCTCCCACGAACACTGAGGGGTCCTTGTCTGCCAACTTGATCGCCCGGAGGAAGATTTCGCTAAAGGTTACGCGTGGCTTATGCGGGGGGCTGTATATATTTAGGATGTGTATTGACTGGGCGTGACGTCTGAGAGGCAGTATTCTGACCATTGTGTATTCTTGTTCAGTACTTAAGTTTAAATCGACCTGAATCTGGTATATGCCTTGTTCACCAGGATGCATGACGAGGGCCGCCCCCTGGAAAGTGCTATCGCCAGAGAATTTAACGTCCAAACCGGGCTCCTGCATAGCAAGCGAGGCGGGCATGTTTCCGAGGGACTGCAAGTAGAGCTGGAGGGGCGACTGTTTTTTCCAGGCTCTAAAACCCCTGCAGTTCCATTGTTTAATCTCAAATTTTTGTAGATATTTAGCTTGTTTGTTAGATCGGCTAGCGATCTTTTAGTATTTATTTACGGTGCAGAGGACCGGTCCGGACCTAGAGCCTACCCCGAAAAGCCTTCTTCTGCTGCCTGACGGGAGGCCGGCTTGCGTTTAACCTGCGGGGAGTCGCTCTGAGTGGTGTTTTTAATTTCGGTGATAACCCAGGGCTGCACGGCTCTAAGAACTGAGTTAGAGACCTGCGCCAGAATTTCGGGAAGTGCTTGCGTTAAGGCTGCCGTGAACATGTCCTGAAAGGACTCGCGGACTGCCGACATGATTTGAGTGGGGAGGGCTGCCACGCTCGTTTCTAATTGCTCGGTTTTACGCTCCAGGGACTCGATGCGACCGATGGATCCGGTAATGGAAGCTGGTCCAACTACCGTGTCCGCGTCCTGCCGCGACACGCTAGTGAGGCGGGATGTGACGGAAGAGCCGTCATCCCCGTCCTCTGCCTCGGCTTCCTGCACTGGCTTGGATGACCCGACCTGCTTGGATTCTAATTCCTGAATTTTGCGCGCAAGAATTTGGTTCTGACGCCTGAGCTCCCCTATCTGCTGCTGTAGGGCGGTTTCGGTAGGGGAGGGAGAAGGGGAAGGTCCGGAGACTGCCCCACCCCAACAGCTCACCTGTGCTTGGACGGGTGTCAAGGGTGGGAAATCCTTGACCAAGACAGGAGGCTCCGACGGGGTCCCAGACTTCACATTGGTGGAGTGCCCGGTGTAGGTCTTCTTGGGTTCTGGCTTATTCGACTTGGTGGCTGGTGCTTTTTTGGTGCCAGTCTTGGGAGTCGGAGCCTGTTTGTGAACCCCCCCCCCCCCCCCCGTTGTCCCCGGCTTGGATCCGCGTGGGGATCCCGACTTGACCGGCTGCCGGAACCGTCCAGCACAACCGGGAGCTCCAGTCTTGTGGCAACCACCGCAGAAGAGGCAGCTCGGAATGCACTGGTGTTCCGTGGGGCCGTCAGAAGTAGCAGCAGGTACCTGAACGCCGCAGCTTGTGCAGCTGCCGGGCTGCGGGCGCGGGCAAGTATCAGCTCGATGGCCCACTGTGCCACAGAGTGGGCATGCAGGCACTGTCTTATACAAGCGAGCAGGGAGCCGCTCGCAGTTGTATAACACCGTCCGTGGCACCTTGGTTCCCGCGAAGGTAATCACCGCAACCGGAGTGTTACTTTTAGCAATTTTTATGTCGGACGTAGCAACGTATCATATGCGAAGCGGGCTAGCTAGTTGAAAAAAAATGCTTACTTAAAGTGCGTATTGTAAATTCAACAATAAATCTGTTATATGTAAATTTAAAACGTGCACTCCCCCAGACATACATGAGCCCAGAACATTGTGTAGGATGCCCTCATTTGAACTCCTTTAGCTTGAAATAACGGGAAAAGTGTCTGTGATAGTGAGCAGTCGCATCTCACAGACTCAACGCCCCAATTTTTTCAACCCTTATTGCGCCCAGCTGCAAACTTTGTCTAGCGATTTTCACAATACCACAAGAAATGCATCCATTGTTCAGGTCTCTACCACATACTCTATACTTTCGCTTAAGTTCAGGTTTTGCGCATTTTTTTCTTTTTTTTAGAAGCAGGAAGCTGGGCATGTTCGTATATACATAATAAACACATGGACAGTTCAAGAAACAATGAGAGAAGAAAAAGGCAAGCGCAAACGTAGAGTGCGGGCATTTTTCGCTTCTGTTCTGGCACAGCAATACATATGGACGATGCCTTTAACCTACTCACTAATATAACGAGACGGGGAGTTACTGCGTCGGCGTGTTGGAGACACATTAGGGCACCACATATATTTTCATAACACATCCGAACAACAGTGCAAGAGAAATGTACGAAATCGTATGAACAAGTACCTGTCGTCGAAAGATTGGAACACTTGGAAGAACTTACCATAAAGACAACTCCCGCAGAGTGGATCGTTTTGGCGACAGAGGCGAGTCTCTGGTCCATGCGGGTACGAGTCTGAATGCAGCCTGGATAGAACTGCGACTCAGGGCCATATTTCATTGATTGATTTGATTGATTTGTGGGGTTTAACGTCCCAAAACCACCATATGATTGTGAGAGACGCCTTAGTGGAGGGCTCCGGAAATTTCGACCACCTGGGGTTTTTTAACGTGCACGCAAATCGTAGTACACGGGCTTACACCATTTCCGCCTCCATCGGAAATGCAGCCGCCACAGCCGGGATTTGATCCCGCGACCTGCGGGTCAGCAGCCGAGTACCTTAGCTACAAGACCACCATGGCGCGGCTCAGGGCCATATTTGCGGTGCAAGTGGTAGGTTATAGCATAACTGTCAAGGTAAGCGTAAACATTTGTGCGTATAAGAACGCCATTTCATATGGCAAATGGGGCTAACCCTACGAATATGCGTGCTCGTACGTGTGTCAATGGGTCTGCGGCTGCAGATAGACACACTAATATATTCACACGATAGTGTTAAAAAGCTCATTTCGGAGATATTCTGGCGTCGTTGTCATTACTTTCAATAAAAAAGCATCTTGTGAGGGACTGAAAAATTAGTAAAATGCCAATAGAAGAGTCCCAGCTTTGCCGCAAAGGTGAGGCAATGAACGCAATAGCAACAAATTGGAAAGTCACGCAAAAAATGGTCAGCAGATCGAAACGTGCTCCGCGTTTCTCACGCAAAGGGACACACAAACGTACTCACAGTTACAGATTAACGCGAATAAGCGTCTCAGTTGTTACTTCGCTGTGCCTGAATAGCGCGCTCTTTAAGCAAGCAAACGGAGGCTGTGCAACGAGTGCAGTGACTTTTTGAACCCGTTAACTACAACAGAATCACTCCGACAAAACTGAAAGGCTTGCCAAGACGTACGATTCTCCCCACTGCAAGATAAGGGCGCACGATCGAGCGTACACCCCCTTATTTTCTACGTGTACTGAGGTACGCGTGAGAGATGAGAGCCGCCGCCTGCTCACTGCGCCATCTTTCTGATAATGCTAAAACACAATTGTTTCCCGCCAACTTGCTCTACCACATATATACCACTTACCGCTGATGACCGCAATCAGCGGTATGTGGTAGATATGAATAGCTTGCCGTTTGAACGTTGAAGGAGGTACCTCATGGTGGCTCTGTGGTTAACGTCTCGCATGCATGACATGGATCTCCCAAGTTCGATTCCGCGCGCTGGAGTCTTTCTTCTGGGATTTTTTGTTTCTTGCTTTTTTAAATATATAGATAAGTACACAAACACGGTGCATGATACCGAGGCCGACATCTACGCCGACGCCGGCGGCAAAATCCAGCCGAGACTGTCTGTATAACTGCTATCGCAACAAAACAAATGAAAATTCACCAGATCCCACGTACCATGGGAATTGCCGTTATGCGAAGCATGCGGAGAGAAGGTGATTGTATTGTGTGCGAAACGATACTAAATGACGCTAAGCATACATATAAATGTTGCACGTAGCGACATATAGTCGACAGTTCCACGACAGTTCCATATGGTCGACAGTTTCATGTTTGCTATAACCAGTTGTACAACTTTGATTATCGGTGCCAACAGCAACATGAGTGTTTGCAGTATCAGAAGCAGTAAGCTGCTTTGACGCGCTTTTGCTCACGAGAAGGTAGCAGTGAACACTGCCATACCTATCAGCTTCAGTAGATGGCATTTGACCACAAGTGATGTTAAGCCGTCCTGACAGCTGCTATATATAAGTACATAAGTTATATTTATAAAATTGGACGGTCAGCACTGAAAATACAATCGACGTTTTGGGAACACAACGCATGAATGTAGTTTTTTTAGGAAAGTTGTAACGAAATCTGGCGGGACTTTGCAATAAAATAGTTGATTGTCGACTCAAAATGCTCGCATTTCATTTCTGTGGGGGCCCTCACATTTATTCTTTGCATTAGTGGGGTCAACCCTGGCGATGTCAGCTTTTTCTTAACACTCTCACGTTAAAACTACCAACTTTTGTTACTGCTGTCCCTGGTTAGGCGAACTGTAATTCACTTGTGGTAGATACCCAAATATGTGTGACACATACCTTGACGTATTTGACGAGATTCTGGCACTATTCATGTCATGACGAGCGAGAATTATTCTTCAGCCCACCTTAACTTCCCCTACTTATTTTCATTGACCCCAGGATAAGGGGGTGATCGTTAAAGCACAGAGAAGTAGGTGGCTTGATAGAAGATAGATAGATAGATAGATAGATAGATAGATAGATAGATAGATAAATAGATAGATAGATAGCATTTGACAGTAGCTGTACTACGTAAAAAATCAGCAGCATTTATAAATATTTGTGGTCGAATTCTGTAATGAATTCCCGTCATCCTCGTAGAATGCAGGTATTCTACCACATTGCCATGCCGCTGCTTGTAGATGCTTCGAAAAATAAACAGTATATCCATGTCATACGGTAAAGAGAGTCTCGTTGAATAACGAGATTAAAAACTGTCAATCGCGCAACGAAATGGAATTTTAAAGTCTTACCCATTAAAAGGTATTCGAACATAACTTATTAGGTTCAAAAGCATCAATAACGTAGCAGCAACATTAGTTGACAAGGTGCCCTAAAGAAACGTGTTTGGCTCTATGTTGACTCGAAAAATGAGGAGTTATGGAATCGTAGGCACTTATTAACTAGAGTGGTAGTAGACCTTGTGGGGCCGTTTGAAAAGACAAAAGGTTACGCACGTAGTCGTTAATTTATTTCCAGCGTGGTTGGTGCATGCAGCGAGGACCAAAGTAATGCTAGCAGTTGAAAAGCCGATGCGCACGGGGCCCGATTACGCAATCGCGCTCTCGAACGCAAAGCTCAAGCATCCTCGAAGTCGTAATAAATACGTTATAGTTGAGGGACCACAGCATAGAGATGCCTGTCCTCATGTGGTTAGGATCTTTCCATGGGCCTATTGACTTCGAACTGCTAGACTGGACGTATTTTTCATTATAAGCTGATTACATGCTCGAGTTTTTGCAAGAAAGCTTGAAGCGCTTGTGAAAACCGTTTGCCAAGAGTCCATTTTAAAGCCACTCTCTCCAACTTGGGTCAACTTTTCTCTCGTGCCTCAAAGTTATGTCCTTTTTCTGAATGCTAGATTTCACTTAAAGTGCTCTGTGAAATTATCTGTAATGCTAGGTGAAATATAACAGGTCATTTAACTTTGTAAAGCATATAAAACAAAGGGGTTGTTTGTATAACGTGATACCAAGTATCCGTAATAGTATGTTTTGCAACTTGCCATGATAATCCAGGGCAAAATTCGCTTATTGCAAAGGGTAGCATCTGAGTTTCAGCAGTATTGATTTGATTATGAAAACTTTCCTCGCGTTTTTTATGAATTCGTGAACCTTTATTTCGAATGGTAGTGGCAGTCTACCAATTTTCGCCACCTCCCCAGCTGCTTTCTTGGCTTTTTTCTGGCGGAATACTCTTCTTTTTCCGCTCACACAATTCTTCGTGATGACCCACCCCCTTTTCTCACGCCCCCAGTGTCCACAGTTGTGCTCTTCATTTTTTTCATTCAACAAGTGGAGAGGGTATGAAGCATATACACGTTCGCACGAAGGAAAATTATTCTAGTCTTGATGAAGACAAGTCCACTTTCAAAACGTTCACTCCGGCTCAAAAACTCTGTTTACAGATTTCTCTATCACAAACCTTCCCTTTGCCTCTTCCCGCGGTAATATATTCGGTTTTGTGTGCCTAAAAACACAAAATTACTATGAGCAATGCCATCACGGTGGATGCCGGAAACGCTGAGCTTGGGTTATTTTCTAAGTGACCAGATATAAGGAATAGTGCACATGTGGTCGGCAAGACACTTCTGTTCTAACCTCTCGCTTTCCAACACGATTATTAGTGCTCGTTTAAATGAAACCGACGCTCTTGTTATCATTCATCGCTGTGTATGCTATCATATTTTCGGCATTAGAACACGTTATTATAAGCCATCTCTCTAATAATTACAAGTTCTGGGGCAAATATTTTGATGGCGCTTTATCGAGAAAAAGACCATTCATTTTTTAGACCAAATTATAGCTAATGTTGGATACACGAAGCTGCACAAAACCAAACAAAACAAACATTTAAAGATTACCCGTTCTGCACGCAATGCTCATTAGAGAGTATGGGCACAATATTAACATTATCTACCTCAATTGTAGTTAGTCTTGATATCAACCCATCAACCGTCATTATGACTGCTACGCACATCATTGTATAAAAGTAGCCACAGACTTCCCCTCGAGAACTTTATTCAATTAGAGTTAGCTTAGTGATAACATGAGTATATTATAGAAAAAAACACGGCTAAATTGAGGCAGTGACAATATTCATCGATTCAGCAAGGACAATAGAAAATTTCACTCTACGCGATTTTCATATATTGTTTGTCAGGGCTGCTTTTGTTTCATCACAATGCGGACACGTTATTTCCATTGCGCTGTACCGTCAGGCATTTGTAACTGAAGTGATCCTTTTTTTTGTGAAATCCAGGTGACTGAGCCTCTGCTCAATCATGCTTGGCAAGCGAGCGCACAATGTTGCATTGAGGACTTGTCACTACGTAGTGCAGAATTACAGCCATGATGTGGTTCAGTTGTGTTAGTGGTTGTCTTTATACCACAGCCCCGCAGCGAATGGTCGGAAAAAACCTCGTAAAGTGTTATTCGGGATATGGCGAAGGTATTAATATTGCCACTGTGGCGCCTAGGGAGTCTGCACGGTCATAATATTCTGCAAAGCAGCACAAGAACCGGGCACATAGCTTACAAGAATAGAGGGCATGTTTGCAGCTGAGAGACCTTCATGTAGGCAATAAAGCAGAACAAAGCACAATTAGCTAGAGTAAAAGCTGACTATAGGAGGATGCAAGTGATTTATAACAGAAAAAGAACTGTTTAGGGGGGATGCAATGAAAAGCACTTTCAACTCCTGCGCCGGCCAAGTAAGTG